GTCATTCCAGCAGTCATCTCTCCATAGGGATTCGCAGGATCATGGGCGTGACCTGTCTGCAGCAGGAATAGGCCTTCTTGCTGCTGCTACCCAGTCTTTAAATATGCCAGCATCTTTTGGAAGGATGAACCAGGGTACTGCATGCCTTGCTAGTTTAATGAATCTTGAAATGAATTCTTCATTGAATCAACAAGGAGCTCATGGTGCACTGTCTTCTGCTAGTACTTCTTCCCAAAATTTGCAGTCTATATTTAATATTGGAAGTAGAGGTCCACTTCCTTTATCTTCTCAACACCATGGAGATGCAGACCAGGCCAGTAACATTTTGGCCAGCTTTGGTTTGTCTGCTAGAGACTTAGGTGAACTGAGTCGTTATCCAGAGTATAAGATTACTCCTGAGAATTTGCCCCAAATCCTTATACAGCTTAATAGGAGGAGAAATGAAGAAGGCCCTACATTGAGTTATGGTAGAGATGGCAGATCTACTACATTGGAGCCACCATACAGAGTACCTAGGGATGAATGGGAAGAAAAAAGGCACTTTAGAAGAGATGATTTGATGATCATAGTCCTAGTGCTTGATTATGACCATGGATGTCATTCTCAAGAATCTAGTTATTATGACAGAATGGATTATGAAGATGACAGATTAAGAGATGGAGAAAGGTATAGGGATGATTCTTTTTTGGTGAGATCTTGTATAAGTATCATAAATTTGACAGTGTGTATGAGAGAATGGGACATGGTCCTGGGCCCTTACAAGAAAGACATGTCTTTGAAAAAAAGAGAGTTGCTCCTCCAAGTAGCAATATTGAAGACTTCCATGGACTCTTACTAAAGGGTTATCCCCATCTGTGCTCTGTATGTGATTTGCTAATTCATTCTAATAAGCAGTGGAGTCAACATATCAATGGAGCAAGTCACAGTCAGTGATGCCAGCTGCTTCTTGAAATCTACCCTAAATGGAATCTCGATAATGATACTGGACACACAATGGGTGATCCATTCATGCTGCAACAGTCTACAAACCCAACACCAGGAATTCTGGGACATCCATCTCCTTTGTTTCATCTTGATGGATGAGCAGTTGGACCAAGAGGAAATCTGGGTACTGGAAATGGAAATCTGCAAGGCCAAGAAACATGCAAAAATGCAGAGTGGAAACTAGCCGAGTTGTTCACATCATGGATTTTCAGTGAGTGAAAAACTCGAGATACTAACATTTACAGCTGGTGGAACCATTTGGAGTCATTTCAAATCATCTGATTCCAAATAAAAATAATGAGGCATTTATTGAAATGTCAACTACAAAAGATACACAGGCTGCTGTGGATTATTACACAACTACACCAGCATTAGTATTTGGCAAGCCAGTGAGAGTTCATTTATCACAGAAGTATAAAAGAATAAAGAAACCTGAAGGAAAACCAGGTCAGAAATTTGATTAAAAGCAAGAGGTTGGATGTGTGATACATCTCAGTAATTTACCCCATTCTGGTTATTCTGACAGTACTGTCCTCAAACTTGCTGAGCCCTATGGGAAAATAAAGAATTATATTTTGATGAGGATGAAAAGTCAGACCTTTATTGAGATGGAGACCAGAGAAGATGCAATGGCAATGGTTGATTAATGTTTGAAAAAAGCTCTTTGGTTTCAGGAGAGATGTGTGAAGGTTGACCTGTCCGAGAAATAAAAAAAACTGGTACTGAGGAACAGAGGGATTGACTTACTCAAAAAAGATAAATCTTAAAAAAGATATTATTCTCCAGATGGTAAAGAATCTCCAAGTGAAAAGAAATGAAAAACTGATGGTTCCCAGAAGACTGAAAGTACAGCTGAAGGTAAAGAACAAGAAGAGAAGTCAGGTGACGATTGTGAGAAAGATACAAAGATGACCAGACAAAACAAGAACCTAGCAGGCTTCTTGAATCTGAAAATGAGCTACTTGTAGATGAAAAAGACACTGCAGTACTACTAGAAAGTGGCAGTTCAGTAGGAGATGAGGCAAATCTTGTTAATTTAGGCGATATTGCTTCTGATGAGAAAAATGACACTTCAGACAAAACTGGGGAAAAAAGATGCTTCAGCAACAAAGAAGAAGCTTACAAAGGTGGACAAGATCGAGGAACTTGATCAAGAAAATGAAGCAGCTTTGGAAAATGGAATTTAAAATGAGGAAAATAGAGAGACAGGTGCTGAATCTGAGAATGCTGATGATCCCAACAAAGATACAAGGGAAAATGCAGATGGCCAAGCAATGATAACAAGGAGGATTATACAATTCCAGATGAGTATAAAATTGTACCATATCAGCCCAATGTTCCCGTTGGTATAGACTATGTGATACCTAAAACAGGGTTTTACTGTAATCTGTGTTCACTCTTTTATACAAATGAAGACATTGCAAAGAATACTTATTGCAGCAGTCTTCCTTATTACCAGAAATTAAAGATATTTCTGAATAAAGTAGCTGAAGAGCACAGACAGAAGAAGGAAGCTTGAAATGTGCAAGAAGCTTAATGATTTCAAAGAAAATAATGTGGGTTTTTTTTGTTTTTAATGTTAACCTTTTAAAAATAGTACCGATAGTTAGAAGCAAAATACTGTACTCGTTTGTTTTAGTGGAATAATACTTAGATGTCTCTTCATGTGTTTAAATGTTATAGCAAAAATACATATACAGTTAAGTTAATGAAGAGTAGATTTTGTTTTATAAGAATGGCAACAGACAGAGTCACTTTGTTTGGAGACTTAAGTTGTAAACTACTCAAGATAAATTGCAGCACTGCGGAAAAAAAGATGTAGAAACATTCATAGAAATGAAATTTAGTAGTTCCAAGCTTCAAAGAAATGTCAACAACTCTGATTCCATTCAATAAAGAACAAAATCAATTGTATTTTTATTACTTTCATTTGAAACATTCCACGTTTTAATCTCAGACTTTGGAGTTTGAAGCTTTTTGGTTACATTTCATTTTTGGAGAATTTCATTAATAAGATTGGCAATTAGGATGTATGTGTAGTTTTCTTTTATTGTTATGCTGTTGTGTAGGTAATAAGAAATATTAAGTAATTGTCTTTAGATTTTGTCATTCTTTTCCCCTAAGTTCCTGCTAGATTTCATATTCTAGTAGACAATTTATTTTCAGGGAAATGTAAAAATATTCTTGTTCTCTTTGACCAGTATTAATTTCTTGAGATCTTACTGCTTGTCACTTGAATCGTGTAGCTCTCATACATCTCTGGTATAAGCACCATTTGATTTTTGAAGTGTGTAGACCATCTTTTCAAAATGTAATTTTAAATTTCTGCATTTTAAAAACAGTTTGGTCATATTTTTAGATGCATGCTTCTAATTCACGTACCTGCACATGTGACCTTTGTGGACAGAAATTTGCATGTATACTTTGTGTTTACTTGTAAACACTGTTTATATACTGCTTATATCTGTGATTTCAACTCACTGAAGTGAGTACCAATAAAAAAAACAAGCTCATTGGTTATACATGTTTGAAATGTGACAACAACAACAAAAGTCTTATGTAAATGCATACACTGTGTATTCATATGTGTCTGGCTTATCTCACTTAATAGTATGCTTGTAAGATTCATCCTTATTACTGTATCATATTCCACAACAGGCTTACTCTGAAGCATATTTATCTATTCTTCATTTGGGGTGTTTCTAGCTTAGAGTTAATATGAATTATGCTGCTATGAACAGATTTTTTCATGTCTTTTTTTGCTTTTCATGCTTTCCTATTTGGGCATATGATATGTGCATGTCCAGCTTTAATAAATTGTCATTTTTTTTTTTGTCATATGTAGTTGTACAAATTTCTATTTCCACTTATGAGAGTTCTAGTTTTTCTATATCATTTCCAGTCAGTGGCATAGTCTCTTTACCACTTCAGCCATTCTAGCTGATACATAGTACTATCTCATCATGGCTTGAATTTGCATATTCCTGATGACTAATATAGGGATGGACTCTTAGTATGGTGCTGTAAGATCAGCACTGGACTTCAGACCACATGGTTGGCAGTTCAAACCTATCAGCTGCTCCTTGGAAACCTATACAGGGTTGAAAGAAAAATAAAAGTGTGGCCGACTGTCCCATTGCCTTACTACACATGCAGTGGGTGTGTACCATAGAAGCCTCCAGCCATGGTGGGGGTGTCCACTCACTCAGGCCCCTCCTCTAGTCATCACCGTAGAGGTGAGCACATAGATATTGAGAAGTTAATGGGAGAAAGACTGTCTACTATTTTTGTCTCTAAAGGTCAGTTAAGTATCTGCGTTTGCACAGCGCATATCTCAAGATGGTTGAGTCCTTTTATGTTGAGGTTTTACAGATTGTTTATATGGTTTGTCTGTCAGGCCTGACGGGCCTACTTTTTTCTTGCTAGAGAAAAGTAAAGAGTAAAGAGTCCTCAATAAGTTAATTTTAGGGCTGTGACCCTAAGGCTGATGTCGTAAACAGCTGCCAAGCCCTTTCTCTCTGTGCCATGGGAAAATTGTGGGCTCAGCTCTTGATTATTTTTGTGGGGTGTGCACCCACCTGCCTGAAGGCATCCAGGCTGCACAAAGAATACGTGACAGGGAAGAAGAGGAAATAATGTATAGAATCCCCCGATGCTCCTTTGGATGCCATTGTCACTGCACCACTTTTAGCAATGGTTCCCTGTGCCAGTCTGGCTGTAGCCCCGTCCTCTGAACTCCCCTCAGGTGGGGTGGCCTCAGAGGGAGTCCCCTCTTGAGCGATTTCTAACTCGCAGTATTTTTTTTTTATATCATGATTTTTGCGAGTGCGGGAAACTGACACCCTGGACCTTATGCTAGATCCAGAGCTCTGGTGTTGTTCCATGAGTGCAGCTTCTCTGGGTTTTCAATCCCTCCCCCATGGAGCCTTTCTTATCTGGCTGTCTCTGCTATTACCCAAACCGCGACTTCATCTATTTTTTAACAAAATTGTTTGTCTGTCTTATATATTGAAATAATGGTTGCAGTATGGTTAAAACACTTGATTGTTAACCGAAAGGTGGGAGGTTTAAACTCACCAACCTCTTCTCAGGAGGAAGATGTGGCAATCTGATTCCATAAAGCTTTGCAGTCTTGGAAACAGTTCTGCTCTGTCCGACAAGGTTGCTATGAGCCAGAAGCCACGCAGTGGAGATGGGTTTTTGGTTTTTCTTTTATATACTGGAAAAAAAAAAAAAAGAAGAATTATTATGGTGATTATTTCAAAATCATGAAAGTTTAGTTATCTTAAGGAAATTTTGACTTATGTCAGAGCTATGGAGTCCTGGTGTGGCACTATAGGCTAATGAGTCAGACTGCAAAGTTGTGTGAACTGCAAGGTCCGTGGTTCAAGCTCACCAGCTGCTCCTTGGAAATCCTATAGAGGGTCGCTATGGGACGGATTTGACTTGACGGCACCTAACAACAACAACGGCAGAGCTATGTAGTTCAATACAGTTCCTACTCACCACATGTGATCATTGAATATTTAACACGTGGTTCATCCAAATTGAGATATACGGTAAGTGTAAACACAGACTGAATTTCAAAGACTTTGCAAGAAAATAATTTGTACACATTGCATTAAAAATGTATTGTTAAAATTAACTTTTTATAATTCATTGAATTTACCTGCTCCTTTTTGATTTTATAAATGTTACTACTTGTTGTTATGTGCTCTCAAGTTGTTTCGGGCTGATAGTAACACTGTATACAGTTTACGAGACTATAAATTTTTGCTAAAGTAGAAAACCTCATATTTCTCCCATGTAGCAAACTGGTGGGCTTGAATCTCAGAACTTACGGTTTTCAGTCCATTGCTTATCCTAAGCCACCACACTCAAATTTTATTACTATACATTTTTAAATTACATAAATGGTTCACATTGTACAAGGGGAATTTTAAAAGTTTGTGAACAAATTCCACAACTTTTCATTATGTTTCACCATGAACAAAGCCCAGTCATATCTCTATTAGGCAGTACTTTTTTTACAAAATGGGGATGCTTCCCTGAAAATGTTTTATCCTGACTGATTGCTGATGGAGATCACAAACTATAACCTTCAATATGAATTGCACCTCCATGCAAGAAAAAATTCCTCACAACCGGACCAATGAATAATATGATAAATGGAGAAAGGGACCACAAGTGGCTCCACTGACTAAGCACTGGACTGTGAATCACAAGGTTGGCAATTTGACCTCACAAGTGACTGCAAAGGAAAAAGATGAGGCTTAGGGCTCCCATAAAGATTTTTAAAACCTTAGAAACCCTATCAGGTGCATTGTGGGTGGGAACTTACTCGATTGATCCTAACAACAACAGCAACAACAAATGAGAAAAAAGGTTGACACTGTCAAAAATATCATTTTACTTGAATACACAATCAACAGTCAAGAAATTGAAGAACATATTGCATTAGGCAAATCCGAGGCAAAAGACCTCTTTAAAGTGTTCAAGAGCCAAGATATCAGTTTGAGGACTAAGGAATGCATGCACCAAGTCATGGTATATTCAATAGCCTCATATACATGTGAAAGTTGGACAAAGAATAAGAAGACTATAGAAGAATTGATGCAATAGAGTTATGGTGTTGGAGAAGAATATTGAAAGTACCAAGAACTGCATGAAAAACAAATAATTCTGTCTTGGAAGAAGTACAGCTTGAATGCTCCTTAGAAGTAAGGATGACAATACTTTGTATCTCATACTATGCACATAGTATTAGGAGGGACCAGTCTCTGGAGAAGGACATTAAGTGTGGTAAAGTGAAGGGTCAGTGAAAAAGAGGAAGACTCCAAAAAAGATGGATTGGCACAGTTACAGCAGCAATGGGCTCAAGCCTAGCAACTGTTGTGAGGATGGTATAGGACCCAACAGTATTTAGTTCTGTTGTGTACTGTTGTTGTTGTTAGGTGCCATTGTGTCGGCACCAACCCTATGAACAACAGAAGGAAACACTGCCCAGTCCCATGCCAACTTCACAATAGTTGCTAAACCAAAGCCCACTGCTGCCACCATGTGCTAAGCCATCTTCTTGGGGATCTTCCTCTTTTTCTCCTATTCTCCATTTTACCAAACATGCTATCATTTTCCAGGGATTGGTCCCTCCTGATAATATGTCCAAAATATGAGATGAAGTCTGGTAATCCTGACTTCCAAGGAACATTCTGGCTATACTTCTTCCATCCAACACAGATTAGTTTGTTCATTTTGCATTCCATGGTACTTTTAGTACTTTTAATGCCATGGAATGCCAAATGCCCTAATACCACTTTTAAATAAAACACTGTAACACAAATGCATCAATTCTTCTGTGGTCTTCATTATTCACTGTCCAACTTTCACATGCATATCAGCTTATTGAAAATACCATGACTTGGGTAAGGCAAATCTTAGTTCTCAAACTGACATCTTGGCTCTTCAACACTTTAAAGAGGTCTTGTGCAGCAGATTTGCCTAACACAATACGTCGTCAGATAGTTTTGACTGCTGATTCCATGAGTGTTGAAGGTTGATTAATGTAAAATGAAGTCTTTGACAACTTCAGTCTTTTCTCCATTTATCTTGATGTACTATTGGTCCAGTGGTGAGTTTTTTGTTTTCTTTATACTGAGTTGCAACCCATACTGAAAGTTGTGTTTAATTTTCATCACATTCAGCAAGCAAGGTGTATCATCTGCATATCACAGATTGTTAATAAGTTTTCCTCCAAACCTGATGCCATGTTTTTCTGCATATAATTCAGATTCTCAGACTCTTTGCTCAGACTGAATAGGTGTGGTAAAAGAATACAACCCTGGTACATACCTTTCCTACTTTTAAACCATTCAGTGCGCCCTTGTTCTATTCGAACAACTGCCTCTTGGTCTATATACCAGTTCCTCATAAGTTCAATTAAGTATTCTGGAATACTCATTCTCCTCAATGTTGTCCATAGCTTCTCATGAACAACACAATCAAAAGCCTTTGGGTAGTCAATAAAGCACAGGTAACATCTTTTTGGTACTCTCTGCTTTCGGCCAAGATCCATCTGACATCAGAAATGATATTCCTCATTCCATGTCCTCTTCTGAATCCGGTTTGAACCTCTGGAAGTTCTTTGTCTGTGTATGAGTGAAACCATTTTTGAATCATCTTTAGCAAGATTTGCTTGCATGCAATATTAATGATATTGTCTGATGGTTTCTACGTTCTGTTGGGTCACCTCTCTTTGGAATGGGCACAAATATGGATCTCTTCCAATCTGTTGGCTATGTAGTTGTTTTCCAAATTTCTTACCATAAATGAGTGTCTCCAGAACTGCATCGGTTTTTTGAGAGATTTTAATTTGTATTCCATCAATTCTCAGTCCCTTGTTCTTTGCCAATTTGGACTTCTTCATACAGGATCATTGACTCTTGATCATATACTACTCTTGAAATGGATGAACATCAACCATTTATTTTTGGCATGGTGATTCTGTGCATTCCTTCCATGCTCTTTAATGGTTTCTGCATCATTCAACATTTTGTCTATAGAATCCTTCAATACTGCAAGTCAAGGTTTGAATTTTTTCTTTAGTTGTCTCAGCTTGAAAAAGTGTGGAATGTGTTCTCCCTTTTGGTTTTCTAAGTTCATATCTTTGCACATTTTGTTATAATACTTGACTTTGTCCTCTCCAGTTGATGTTTGAAGCTTTCTGTTCAGCTCTTTTACCTTCTTATTTATTCCATTTGCTTTATAAAACATCTCTATACTGGAGAGCAAGTTTCTGACTCTCTTTTGGCATCCATTTTGGACTTTTCCTTCTTTTCTGTCTTCTTTATGACCTTTTGCTATTTTCCTTTATGATGTTCTTGATGGCATCCAACAAGTCTTCTGGTATTTGGTGTTTAGTGTCTAATTCATCAAGTTTGTTCTTCAGATGATCTCCAAATTCAGGTGGAATAGTTTCAAGGCCATATTTTGGCTTTTATGGACTTTAAGAAATTTTCTTCAGCTTCAGCCTGAATTTGCATATGATAAATTGATAGTCTGTTCCACAGTCTTCCCTGGCCTTGTTTTAGTTGATGACATCTGTGATTTTCCACAGATGTAGTCTATTTGATTTCTGTGTATTCCATCTAGTGAGGTCCATGTGTACAGTCATCTTTTATATTGTTTTAAAAAGATATTTGTAATGAAGAAGTCATTTGTCTTGCACAATTCTATTATGTGATCTCCAGCATCACTTCTATCACCAAGGCCATATTTTCCAAATACTGTTCCTTCCTCTTTGATTCCACCCTTTGCATTCTAGTCGCCAGCAGTTATTAATACATGTTGATTGCATGTTTGACCAACTTCAGACTGAAGAAGTTGTAGACTTGTTCAATTTCATCATCACTAATTTTAGTGGTTTATTGTTGTTGTTAAATGCTGTAGAGTAGGTTTTGACTCATAGCGACCCTGTATAGGGTTTCCAAGGCTATAAATCTTTATGGGAGCAGAAAGCCTCATCTTTCTCCTGTAGAATCACTGGTAGTTTCAAACTTCTGAACTTGAAGTTAGTAGCCTGACTCGTAACAACTATGCTACCAGAGAGTTGTATGAACTGGTCTTCCTTGTAGGTGTATGGATATTATCTTATCACTGGCAACATTTACTACAAGATAGATCTTAATATGTTCTTATTTATGATAAATAAACCTTGTGATTGTCAGATTCACAATGGCCAGTACCAGTCAATTTCAGCTCACTAATGCCTAGGATATCAATGTTTATGCATTCCATTTCATTTTAAACAACTTCCAATTTTCCCAGATTCACATTTCATACATTCCATGTTCTAATTATAATGGATGTTTATAGCTATGTCTCCTTATTTTGAGTTGTGCCCCATCAGCATATGAAGGTCCCTATGGCTCTACTCTATTTGCATTATCACAGTCAACTCTACTTTGAGGAGGCAGCTCTTTCCATGTCGTATTTTGAGTGCCTTCCAACCTGAGGGGCTCATCTTCTGCCACTACAGCTGACAATATTCTGGTATTCTCCATCATGTTTCAATATTCAATAATCTGGTGCTTGCAGTGTTCCACTGCTATTCATGAGATTTTCCGTGACCAGCAGTCAGAAGTAGTACTTTTCTCCTTCTTCCTATTCTGTATTCATCTGGAAGCTCAGTTGAAACCTATCCACATTGGGTGACACTGCTGATATTTTAAATACCCGTCACATAGCTTCCAGAATCACAGCAACACACTAGTCACTACAGTCAACAAACTGACAGACGAGTGATGGGCTGTTGTACATAAGGTCACTAGGAATCAGAACCTACTTCCTGGCACCTAACGATAACATCAATTAGTTGTTGGGGCTACTGACAGATTAATTCTGACTGGAAAAGAAAAATAATGCTAGAATTACCACACACACACTTTTAAAAGATAGGTAATAAGAATAAGTCTTAACTAAAGTGTCTTCAAACATATTGAATTTAAAAATACAATGCTATATCACTATAGATGTTTTTGTTTTAGATACTTTTTAAAAATTTTTAGCTCTATTTTTCTTTATTTCAGAGAAACTCTGTAATCTTCCTACTGTAGAAAATGGAAGAATTGCCCTATATTACTATACTTTTAAAAGTTACTACTTTCCAATGGCCATAGACAAGAAAATGCCATTCTCCTGCTTGGCTGGTTATACAACTGAAACTGGGAAACAAGAAGAGCAAGCCACATGCACAACAGAAGGCTGGTCTCCAGAACCAAGGTGCTACAGTAAGTCAACTGAATGTGAGGATACGATGTTTTCAACACTCCTACAATTTAATTTGTAAAAATATGGACATGATACTATATGGTTGGAGTCCTGATGTGGCACTGTGGGTTTATGTGCTGGACAGTAAAGTCAGTCTGAACCGCAAGAGTGGTGGTTCAAACTCACCAGATGCCTCTTGGAAACCCTACACAGGGGCACTGTGGGTAGGAACCAACTCAACGGCACTTAACAACACAACAATATATGGCTGTGTTGTTGTTGTGACGTGCCGTCAAGTTGGTTCAAACTCATAGCGACCCAGTATAGAGTTTCCAAGAAGCAGTTGGTGAGTTTGAACCTCTGACCTTGGGATTCAAACAGACCTTGTAGTTCTGTGCTTATCCTAAATCTTTTGCAGAGATAGAGCAAACTTTGGTCACACTATATTTCTATAAAATGAAAGCATATTCTACAATCCTATAAATGATTTCACATTGAAAGTTTATTTTTCTTCATTTATTTTTAAGAATAATCTGTGAAGAGAAGGGTAACTGCTTCAACTGCTATTTCTAATACTGCAAGAAACAGAGATTCAATTAAGTTCCATTAAGTAATAAGGAGCTTATTAGGTGAAGAATTGTGCATGAAAAGTCAGAAAAGTGCTTAAGACATTAGTGTCAGGAAGGATAAGATTGTTACTTTAGTGCTTTATCCTTGGTAAGACTCAACTTTGCTTTGTATACCTACTTCTTTCGTAATATCCATGAAAAAAATGTTTTTTCATGTGTTTGAGTTCAAATTTGTGAGAAGGAAATCTGATTGACTCATCATTTCATATCATACTATAGGCCTATCAGTTGGCTTCATGAGCTCAAAATGCCCTAAACTCTCTTTATCAGAGCGAGGGCTGTGGATCAAATCCATTTCATCCAGAAAAAATTACCGTGACTGTTATTCAACATTATTATTTGGGTTATCACTCATTATATAGTTTGAGAATAAAATATTTTTTAAATGACATTGCATTTTTAGTATCACCTTACCATACACCATAGATTATCACCAATAAATCAATCTCATTCATGACTACAGTATAAAAATAAGTGAAATTCATTATACTTATTCTCTTTCAGCTTGGGGAAAACAGCATTGACTTAGGAGCCAGAAAAGGAGAACTCAAGTTTAGCAATGTTGTGTAGTGGTTCATATACAACCTCTAAAGTCAGATTGCTTATGTGCAAATCCAGTTTGACCACTGGAATGTGAATTAAACTTGCTAAAATTAAACTTTTATCTACAAGCAGGAGTTGATACTTGTGCTTAAATGAAATAATTCTCAGAGGGCATATCACACAGTATATATAACTAGTATAATAATAACCTTATGGAGTCCTGGTGTGGTGCTGTGGGTTAATGAGCTAGACTACAAAGCCATTGGAACTGCAAGGTTGGTGGTTCAAGCTCACCAGCTGCTCCTCAGAAACCTTATACAGGGTCATTATGGGTCGGATTCGACTCGACAGCACTTCACAACACAACAACAGCAATAATAACCTTATAGACACCCCTTCACCTCTCTGAGCTGATTTCTTGTGAAGATATAATAATGAGACCTATAAAAATGATAGGGTGTCATACAATGGAATTTTAAAAAATTAGTTAATATATTGTTATAACAATTATTTAATTTTCAAAAAACTATAAACTTATAGAGTTTGACAGGTTTTATGGCTATAGTCAGTCACAGTCTGTATGGCCAGCTACTATTAACTCTTACAATGAAGCTAAATGATCCCCAAAACATGAGGGTACATCAAAAAGTATTGTTATTAGGGTTCTAGTTCACACATGCCTGGGTTTATTTCAAACACAATGTGTTAAAATATGTCTTTGCAATCAGTGAATGGCTTTGAACAAGTTCTTTCAGTAAGGTGCCTTAAAAAAAAAAAAAAAAAAAAGGAGATCCAATCAAAACAGTGGCTTCAAAAGGGATCTGGAGGACCAGTTAAACTTAAGGTAGAGTGGTCAACTCAGAAGATTATGGCAACTGTTTTATTTATGATTCCAAGGGTTAATTGTGATAGATTTTCTCAAAGGGCACAGGATTCTCAAAGGCTTATAGGAAGTAATTTTAAGAAAGTTGAAAATTGCATTGGTGAAAAAAAGACCATGAAAGATGTGCTGAGGATTTTTTTTTTTAATTAGGACATTATACCTGCTTATTTTTCAAGGATAACAAGGGTTATCTTATAAGAATTTCATTGGGAAATATTACCCTATCCACCCTACAATCCTGATTTTGCCTTTTCAGACTTCATTTTGTTGCATAAACTCAAAGAGCATTTAAAAGGAATCTGATTTGGGATGCCAAAACTGTCATTTTAACATAAGGTAGATCTCAGAGCACGCATTATTCTTCAGAGAAGCATTAAAGAGAAGGGAAAACCTCTTTCTGTAGTGTATAGACCTAGATTGAGGGGATGCCAAGAAATAATAGCTTCACATGAAAATATTTTGGTTTAATGAAGATTTTATAGCAATGTTTTTTGACTTACTCTTGTATCTGCTGAGAGAATGACCTCAGTTTACACATTAAGATGAGACATCTTTCTGAGGAACCAGTTAAGGATCTATAAAATAGGTATGTGCTTTTATATGTTTAAATGAATCACAGTGGATCTAATATTAGGAAGCAAATAAAAAAGAAATGACTTATTTTCCACTAATCACAATTAATGAGAAACAATAGCTTTGGACATATGTCTAAGGCTAAATATGGTAGGTTACAGGAATGACTATTGGATGAAATTTTTAAATATAAAGAAAATTAATATCAATTTGTATCCATTTAAAAAATAGATGAAGGCTAGTTCCAAAATTAAATTAATAAAGGAGTTCAGAAATTAAAATTCTCTTTTTTGCCTTTTCACATTCTAACTAAAAGTAAAACTTCACTTTTCTCTTGATTTTACAACTTAGTAATGACAAGGTTAATTTCATTATTGACTTAAACAAAGAACAAAAACCAAGCTTTTTTTTTTTTTTTCCATTAGAAAAATGTACCAGGCCTGACCTGAGCAATGGTTATGTCTCTGATATAAAATTTATGTACACCATTCAAGAAAGCATGAGCTATGGATGCACTTTGGGATACAAAACCACCGGGGGGAAGGATGAAGAAGTGGTTCAATGTCTCTCCAATGGATGGTCTTCCCAACCAGCATGTAGAAAGGAACATGGTATGTATTTAAGAATCATCTCTTTAAAAACAGAAAAAAAAAAAAGAAAAAAGAATCAGCTCTTAAAATTGAAGATGAGGACTTGTGACTTTCATGCTTTTCTATTTTGAGAGGTATTTTATTAATATTGTTTCTGCTGTTGTTAACTGCCATAGAGTCGGTTCCAACTTCTAGAAGTCCTGTATTGGGTTTCCAAGAAGGGGCTGATGGGTTTGAACTGCTGAAATTAGCAGTCCAGTATTTAGTTTGCATTATATATGTGAAAACAAGAAGTTGGTATTGCACATTCCTAAAAACATACAAATAGCAGAATACAAAATAGATGACTCACACCTCCTAAAAATTAGACACTTATATTCTTCAAAAGATTTCACCAGAAGAGTAAAAAGGAATCCAACATACACACACGATGGAATATTATGCAATGTTGAAGAATAATGATGAATATGCGAAACACCTCATAACATAGGTGAACCTGGAGGATATTATGCTGAGTGAAATAAATCAATCACAAAAGGACAAATATTGTATGACACTACTATTGTAAAATCTCAAGAAAAGGTTTTCACACTAAAAGTAATATTATTTGATGGTTACTAGGAGTGGGAGGGAAGGGAGAGTAATTCACTGGCTAGAGGGTAAACACATGTTAACTCAGGTGATGGATAGGGCAATATGCAAGACAAGGGAGGTTGACAGAAGAATGATGAAGACAGGTGAAGACACTGAAGTATACAAGTGCTAAAGGGGATAGAGGTAAACAGTGATATATACACAACATTGGAACAACAGTGTTCTGTACGCAGCTACATGGACAGAGACACAGGCTGAATGCGTGTGGGAGGAAGAATGATTTTATATATATATGTTGTTGTTGTTTGTTGTTAAGTGCCGTGGAGTCGATTCCGACTCATAGTGACCCTGTACAGGGTTTCTGAGGCTGTAAATCTTTATGGGAGCAGAAAGCCTCATCTTTCTCCCATGGAACCACTGGCAGTTTCGAACTGCTGACCTTGCGGTTCACAGCCCTATTCATAACCACTACGCTACCAGATATATACATATATATATATAGTTATAGTTATATACTCCACAAATACACAAGAGCTAGAAAGAGGAGATTTATATATTGGTGACCACAGGGAGGAAGCAAGACAACTACTGCTGCATGGAGGCCAATGGAATCATTGAATTGATACAAATCTTATGCTTTTATTTTTTTTGTAATGTTTTATTGTGAATTATGTGATAGTTTACATGGGAGAACATTAGTTTACATTCATTCTATAGCATATCATTTCACTGCAAATCTTATGCCTTTTTCAATGTAAAACTGATGATGTTGTCTGTAAACCTTCACTTCATTCACAATAAAAAACAAAAATTGATATTGTTACTTCTGAAATGCTAAGTGTTTTCCTTGATCCAGTGATTCTCAACCCCCCGCCCCAGCAAAGTTCACCTTATATTAATAAAAAGGAATCGGAGGATGGTGGCTAGGGTGGGGATGCAATGAAGTTTGCTGTCAGCCATACCACAGAACACCAGGCAAAGCAGATCCAGGGCAGAGCTCCAAAACTCAGAACCACGTAGCTAAGAATATTTTAAAAGTTTGAAGGCTTATAGCTAGTGAAACTTGAAGCTGAAGTAAGAAATCATGTATTTTGAATCTGCTGGGCTCAGAGGCATGGAGCTGACATCTTGAACGAGACCAAGTGGCAAGACCAAGATGAGGAAAAAGGCTGTGGGGACCTTGGAGCAAAGGTGGACAATACACTTTGTCAGTTTTTCTTTTCTTTTTTTTTTTTTGGTATCTGGTCATTGGCATCCCCACTGTTGTACACCTCTAATCTGGTGACTAGAGTGGGAGCTTGAGTGAGTGCACAGCCCCCATTCTCACTACTGGTTCTTCTGCCACATATGCACACAGATACTCTCATCATTTAAAGAGACTAGCAGCCCAAGAGCCAGCCATGAACTGCTTTTAACAGGGAAAAGGCCAAAACAAGGGTGTGGACAGGGGGAGAGAGTTTATAAACAAAACAGGCTGAAAATTAAATCCTGATACATAGCTAACAACCAAGAGTGGCATCTTGAAATCTCTCAGGCAGCTTTGAAAGCAAGAAACTGAAGAAAGGACATTAGAGTCATACTCATATTAGGCTCCAGAGTTCTACAGATTTTTTTTTCTCTCCTTCCTCTCCCTTTTCTGTGATTACAGACTGTAGTTTTCTTTTTTTTTCTTGTTTTTTCCACTGGTGCTGCTTTGGTGTTTTATGCCCACCCCTTCTACCTTTGGGGGACTGTTTCTCTCCCTATATTACCCAAGAAGAGTCAGCAACTACTGCCATATAGTCAAGCTACAATCACACTTTATAAAACACCAAAACCCAGGAAAGAACCAATACCAACTGCCATATACCAGGAAAACAGACAACACCTGTGAAAGTTACTCTGAGTTCAGCAATAAGAAGAATGAAAAGGGAAGCCCACATCTTGATCACATCTTCCTAGAAGCAATCAGAGATCATAAAAAATACCAAAACACATACTCAATTAAGTATTTAGGCCACAGATAAACACTAAACATGTCCAAGAAGCAAAAGCAGATGACCATATAACACGATAAAATGTCTGAGACAAATGACCTAGAGGTAGACCTGGACTCCATTCTGGAAGGAGGGCAGGCCTTGGAAATGCCTGAGAAGGAATTCAGAAAAATGATTTTATAAAATGTTTCAAAACACTTTACAATGGAGTTGAGAAAAATAAGGAAGAAGTCAGGAAAGCGCTACAGAAACAATCAAATAAGATAGATACAGCATTGGAAACAATTCAAAACCTACAGAAAGACGTCCAAACAATCAATAATAGAATATTAGAAATAGATAATACTATGAAAGGCCAAAGCAGTAGAATAGATGAGATGGAAGGCAGAACCAGTGAACTGGAAGTCAAATCTCTCAATACCACTAAGATAGAAGAGCAAACAGAAAAAAGGATAAAGAAATCTGAACAAGCTCTAAGAATCATGTTGGAAAACATGAAGAGAAATAACTTAAAAAATATCGGCATTCCAGAACAAGAAGAATTACACAAGTTCACAGAGGAAATAGTTGAAGAACTGCTGGAAGAAAATTTTTCTAACATCCTGAAAAGTGAAAAGATAAACATACAAGAAGCTCAACGAACCCCAGGAAGTAGAGACCCCAAAAGAAAATCACCAAGACATATCATAATTAAGCTCTCCAAAATCAAAGATACAGAGACACTCATGAAAACAGAAGTGTCACATAAAAGGCAAGTAAGTCAGATTAAGCTCGGATCTCTCAGCAGAAACCATGCAAATAAGAAGGCAATGGGGAGACATATATAAAACTCTGAAAGAAAAAAAATGCCAACCAAGAATCCTTTATCCAGCAAAGCTACCAATAAAATACAATGGTGTAATAAAAACATTCCAGGATAAATAGAATCTAAGGGATTTTGCCAAATCCAACCCAGCGCTACAAAACATCCTAAAGGCAGTTCTGTGGACTGAGAATCAACAAGAACAGACAACAACCATAGACTGACATAAGTGGCAGCATCTACCAGAATGAAATCAACAGAAGGAAGAGTCAAGAACCAAACAAAACTATAAGAACAAACTCAGAGTATCTGGGAGGTCAGTCTATGATTAAAAAATTGCAATGAAAAAAAAGGTAAACATGAAGGAAAAGAGATCCAGATAGTGAGAAGGTCAGGTAGATAACAGGATAAAATAAACAGCACTAAATGGAGAGAAAAGTTAAAGAACTACAAGGCAACCTCAAAGAAAATTAACACTTCACAATATACCAAGAGAATGAAAATCCAAAAAGAACATGGAAACATTAAAACTATGGGGAAACTTACAGGAAAGGACACAAAAAGCATGAACTCAACACAGGAAGACACAAAGAAGAAAGCAGCAACATCACAAGAAAACAAAACCATAAAGGCAGCAATTAATCCACACTTATTGACAATTACAACTGAATGTAAACAGATTAAATGCACCTGTTAAGTGATGGAGAGACGCTGAATGGATAGAAGAACAAGATCCTTCAATATTCTGTCTGCAAGAGAGACATCTCACACACACAGACAAAAACAGATTAAAAGTCAAAGGATAGAAAAAAAATACCAAGATAATTGCAATAAAAAATGAACAGAAGTGGCAGTACTAATCTTGGATAAAATAAACTTTAAGGCAAAAACCAGCATAAAAGATAAAGAGGGACATCATCTCATGATTAAAGGGACAATTGAACAAGATGAAATAACCATAATAAATATCTATGCTCCCAATGAAAGAACTCCAAAATATATAAAGCAAATTCTAATAAATTTGAAGAAAGAAATAGATGAATCTACAATAATAGTGGGTGGTTTTATACACTGCTTTCAAAAATGAATAGAACAACCAGAAACTTGACAGACACAGAAGAACTGAGCAACACAATCAGCCAGCTGTACCTCATAGATGTATACAGAACATTCAACCCAACAACTGCACAAAACACATTCTTTTCCAGTGCACATGGAACTTTCTCCAGAATAGACCATATTTCAGGCCACAAAACAAATCTCCATAAATTTATACGTCAAAATACTACAAAGCATCTTCACAGACCACAATGCTATCAAATTAGAAATTAACAATAGGGAGACCAAGGAAATCAAATCAAATAAATGGAAAATAAATAACACCCTGCTGAAAAGTGACTGGGTAGTAGAAAAATTAAACGTGAATTCACAAAGTTCCTAGAAATAAATGAGAATGAAAACACAACATACCAAAATTTTGGGGACACGGAAAAATGGTGCTGAGAGGACAATTTATTTCAATAAATGCACACGTCCCAAAAGAAGAAAAAAACCAAAATCAACACATTAACACAGCATCTACAATTAGAAACAGACCAACAGAAAGAAAACAGCCACCAAAAGAAAAGAAATAATACAGATTAGAGGAG